CGAGCCGCTGCCGTCGTGGGTCACTCGGCTGTAAGTATCCTACCCGTGGGCGAAGGGGATCGCGCCGCACGATTCGGGCAAACCGGAGCAGGCCAGGGCCCGGTGGTTCAGGGATCCGCATGCAGCGTCTTCTCCAGGCAGCTGTTCCCTGCCCAGGCCTCTGGCGGCGCTTCCTGGGGGTGGAAAGAGGGCTGGGTGGCCTTAGCTTTCCTTCTGCGTGCCGCGCAGGTGGGCGCTTGGCGCACCTCATCAGGGCGCAGATGGAGGAGGGGAGGGGACACTGGCAGCTGCCAAGGCCACGCTGGTCTGCTCACTCCTTCCAGGCCAGGTGGGAGAGATGGCAACCTGCGCACGACCGCGTTTGACATTTTCCTTCTGAGTTTAAGTGAGAGGGTGGTTCCACGTCAGTTTCTGACTAGTTCAGGCCCCCTTTCCAGCCAGTCAGTAAACTGCCCGCGCGCCCTTCGGTTGGGAAGCTCCAGCGTGAGGTTCGGTCACTGTTCACGCTACCATAGACACTTCAGTTGCTCTTCTCCAGTGCATAATTCACATGAGTAGACTATAAATCTCCCTCCTGGGCCACACTGTAACACGTCTTATTTCGCGTAAAAAGTTAGGTGGTACTGATCAGCTGATAAGGAAAAGAACGAACCAGTTTTTTCAGAACCAAGGGCATGATTTCTGTAGCTTCTCAGCACGCCCAGACAGTTCAGGGAGAGCACAGAGCGTTGTTATGCAAGCTTTTGGATTTTAACTGTGAAATCTGAAAACCTGAAATCACTGCCAACTGCGGGTAAGAACAAGGAAGAAAACATAATTTAGTTGGAAATGCTGGTCCTTTCCAATTGCCAATTCGCTTTTTAGTCACCTAGCCTCTAGCTTCAGTAAAGTTGGAGGCGTATTGTAAAACTAAACGAAAAAGTTTCAAAAATTGTATTTTCTTTAAACAAATGTAGTCTCGTTTAAAAGAAATGAAACTGCAGCTCATATTTAATCTCAGATTTGGGCCCAGTACAATTGCAGTGGAAAGTCTCTATTCTTAAGCAATTGCACTAGACAATCTTAATGTAGTAATAGTGGTTGAGGCTTGGTCGAGTACTTTAGTAAGTTGTTTTTAAATTAGTGTGCCAATATAAATTCTTTTATTTATGAATTGTAGAATTGTTGACCATTAAACAGCATGTTCTTTGTGTTTTTAATAAACTTCAGTTTAATAAAGTTGAATTCAAGAGTATTGGATTGATTGGATTGATATTTAATATCTTATCATGGGACGTTTTATTTAGCTTTTATTACAAATGAAGGAGATAAGGGTTTTAACCTAAAGCAGGAAGACTTTCAATTAGTTGTGGCTAATTCTATTCAGTTGCCTCTTGTGGGGGTCGGCGTGCTGCATTCATAGATGTGAATGACTCTGTTGACAACATATGGAACCAAACATGTGCATGACTAGAGGTGAACACCTATGAATAATAAAGGGATGAGGAAGAAAGTGAAGACAGTGCTCCCTGGAGTGTGTTTAGAGTGTGTTATGTACCGTCTAACTTTGTTCAGTAGTCTTGCAGTGCCAAGTAGCCTCTTGGATCATACTAATGTAAAAATAATTTTGGGGGGGTGAATTAGATGTCTTTAAAGAAATAACTGTTGTTGCCATTGATTAGAAGTTGAGTTGAACCTAAGGGGTTTGATACCTATTTAAACATTGTCTTAAAAGTAGCTGACCCAATTAGGATTTTGTTTTGCAGATAATTTGGTGGCACACTAAAAACAAATTACAGTTTATTTGGTTAGCACAGTCTTTAATTACATTTCCGCCAGCAGTAAATTGTCTCAATACGAGTCCACATTCCTTAAATGTATGTGAAAATAAGTTCCACTTGTATAAATAAGTACTCAGCCTGTTGTCAGAAACCCTGCTGTGATCACTCAATGAGCTGCCCTGTCATTCTTGTACTTCTGTGACTTCTAACCGTCTTTGTAGGTGTCACCAAACCATGTGGTCTAAGTTCTTTATTGTAAATGTTTCTTTTGTCTGTTCCTAAAGCCCTAGAAAGGTCTCTTTTCCATTGAAAGGAGAAAGAAAGAAAGAAAAAGAAAGAGAGAGAGAGAGAGAGAGAGAGAGAGAAAAAAAGAAGGAAAGAAAGGAATTGTATTTTACTTTCTCTTATTTGGTGTATTGGAATAAGTTTAAGAAACTATAGGCTGTTACTTAAATTTTACATAATTGGCACAGCTCTTATATAGGCACTTCCATAGTTCAGAAATAAGTAGAAAATACATATTGTTCTTCTCTGTCTCTTCCTTTCTCTTTCTTTCTGTAATTTAAATACTAAAAGTTTGTCTTTGTACTAGCTCATGAAAGTATTCCTTAGAAAAAGTAAAGTGTTTCATTTGTTGAATTTGCAAGCTATAAACATATATATTTCTCTACCTTATTCAGGTATAATTTATTGCTATAGGAGCCCCATGTGTTATAAAATAGTAATACTGTACTCAGTATTTCAAAAAGTAACCTCTATGACTGTCCCTTAATAAAAAGGGCTGTTAAAGCTGTATGTATTTGGAGACTGGCCTAGAGTTTGTGATTACAGAATTTAGAACCTAAAGAGCATTGCTTATTAGAATGTTATTTAGCCAAAACTTATTCAGTTGCCAAAGAGAGCTTCAGTTATTAAGTTCTCACTAGAATTTCAGAATTGTTTATCTCATTAGGTAGAAATGTTTGAATTCTCAACAGAGCTCAGGTGAAGTCTGAAAGGTAGTTCCTGCTGGTGTGGCTTCGTAGTGCTGGCCTGGTGTAAATCTTCTGGTCCATACCAGAATTGGGGGTGGGGTGGGGTAATAGCCTTTATGGTTTTCACAGCTGTTTTTCTATATTTTCCAGACTAAAACTCGAACATAGCTGGCTGATTTATGAGTCACTTTGGATCAGTGTCTTAAAACAGCTACAGCCTGGCTTTTTGTTTTTCAGCTTTCCAGATTTCTGCTGAATTAGCAGCTCTGCAGGCCCCAGTGGGATTGATTAAGAAGCTGTGCTGTATTTGCATTTTAAAATTTGACTTGGAAGTCAAATTTCCAAATGCTAAGAGAAAGAAAATGATAGCTGGAACCAAAAGTTGTAAATTAATTATTCTTACATATATTTATTTGTTTGCTAATATTCAGAAAGAGAGGCTTTTCTCTACCTTGTAGAAGGAGTTTGATTTTTCAAGGATTTGGCTGGCTATGTTTTTCGTAAATAGTTAACACCTCTCTATCTCGTCCCCTATCCCTTTTATTAACCTCAGTACAACAACTTTAAAAAAAAAAAAAGTTTCCTGGGGAAGATGTTCATTAATAGGACTCTGAAAATGAAAAATCTGCCTTCTTTATTGAATGTTTTATGTTCTGGGTTTAAGAGAACATTGAAATTATATGACTTGAGTCTCTTTTTTAGTAGTCTAGCCATAAAAACAATATAAAGAAGATTTAGGAAAATGTGACATCCTTTAACTAGAAAGTAATCATTTCTAAAATGTAAACTATATTAAATCTAAATTTAGGTACATTAAACGTTTCATGGCTTTAAGTATTTAGCAGTAAAATTCATTTAAGGGTTGATTTTTTTTTTCTTCTCCCACATGTAATGTGGTTTTAATAGCACAAAAAACTAAGGAATGGAAGTATGTTGCAATAACTGAAATATTTAAGGTTGCCAACTCCTGCTTCTGGATCCAAAATGAGTGGTCTGCAACATGTGTACCTGTCTCTAAAGGCAGTTTCTCTTCTTTAAAGGTCTTTGCTTGGGGGAATCTCATCCCATTACTGGTGAAGAAAGTTAAGAACTCAATCTCATTTCTCATAGGATTGCCCTGTGAAATAATCCTTACAGTGAAATGGAGAGTTCAGGTTTAGCTTAGTGTTTTTAATTCAACAGAAAATCACCTGTATTAAATGGCAGAGCCAGATTGGTTCTTCCCACCTTGCTTTGAAAACTGGAAAGGCTGGGGGTGGGTGCAGCTTCAGTGCTCCTGGATTAAGTGGGTCCAAATGAGAGTCTTTGTGAACTCCCTCCCAGATGAAGGTCTCTTTTCCTTAGTTGTTTTTGAAACCATGTGGGAAATCTGTGAGCGTCTGGGGTGCTAAAAGCACACAGGTTTTGTTTGAATCCAAACGTGAGTTGTTGGGCTCACAGTTTCCTTGATGAACTCCAGATGGACTTGAGCCGGACGGTGAGGGAAAGTGTCTGGCTCCAGCCAGCATGGTGAGCATGCACAGCAGTGGTTGTAATTGCAGGATTTTTATAGTTTAAAGTCTGTGCCAGATTTTTTTTTTTTTTCATGTTATAACTCTACCAGAACAAATCTACTCATGTCTGTGACTGTCTGGTAGGTCTTTAGACAAACATATTTTGAATAAAACCTTTGCAGTTTTTTTTAAGGTAAAATAAAGAAATCCAGGTTTATTCTCAAAACAAAAAGTGAGAGACTAAAAAGGAACTCTGATTTCTAATTGTTAACTAAGCGCCAAGTAACAGTGTGCTTCTATGAAGCTGATTTCTTTTCATTTTTGTTTTGTGAGCACATAATCATGCGTATAAAGTAGTTCATGCTTTTCAACTTTACACTGAAAACTGCAACTTTGGTTAGTGTAGTTATTTAGTTAATGAAAGAATTCATTAAGTGTTCACTACCTCTTTCCATGGGAAGCATCAAGCCATCTTCTATATTAGCCTGGGTTCCAGTAACTGTTCAGCCATCTCATCTTCATTACCCCATTTTGAAGCTGTACAGTCAAGGGTATGAAAACACACAAGAAATATAACCACGCATATTTTCCAGATTGTGTTTCATATTTTGAATTTAAATGCTGACATGACTTTCTAACTTACTGTATGAATAGAAAGAAGTTTGTTATTTTTCAGAGTACAATACCTATGGAAATCTAGTTAGACTGTGTTATTTAGTTGCTAAATTAGACTGTCTTTGGGGAAGAAGCACATTTATTTCAGTGATTGAAATCTCTTTGTTTAAAAAAAAGGAATCTGTTTGTTAGACGGTTGATGTGGTTTAAATTATACGTTAGGTGACCATATATTGAGATTTGGAGGATCCACATGGGTAGTGTGTGTCCTTTTGAGCAAACTCACCACGCATGCACACGCACAGATGATGTCACATGCACTGTCACTACATGGTACATGAATTTGTGCCTTAATCCAGAGAAACAAATGTGCATGGAAAGCAGTTTCTTTTTTGTTTGACTGTAATAAATCCTTTGATTCTTAATTTTACTACAATAAAAAGTTTTCTGTTCAAGTCTCTCCTTTCAGTAACCTGCCTAATTAGCCACTTTCTGTGAGCTATGATGTCATCATATCAGGTTGGGAGTGGAGAGAAGGGAGGGTAAAGCAAAACTACCAGTTCACAAAAGATCTGTTCACTACTCGCCAAAAAACATCTCTTAAAATGTTTGTGGGCTTCAAGTATTTGAATCTGCCAGCCTCTTAAACTAATTTTGTCCTCAGTTTATATTTTTGAGTTTGACATTTTGGTTTCCATCTTCGTAGACAGAATGGATCAATTATTTCTCTGGTTGTCACTAGGGTTAATAGAGATACTTCGTAAGCCCACTCTCTCTTGCATTTCATTAAGCACAACTAGTATTTTTAGAAACTGCTTACAATTTTGGTTTTGCTTTCTTATAGGGACCTAAGTCACAACAGATTATCTTTCATCAAGACGAGTTCCATGAGTCACCTTCAGAGTCTTCAAGAAGTGTGAGTCCTGGTTACTTTATACTTGAATCTCGCATGAACTTATTGCCACTCTTTCTGTTTTGCTTTCACTGTATGAATATTTGGATTACAATAAATTATTTAAAAGTTCTAATGTGGGAAATATCTTTATTTTAAAGTTTTCACTTCTACAAATTATAGATTGCCTAATTAGCTCCTCCCACTTTTTTTTTTATCATTTATAGGAAACTGAACAACAATGAATTGGAGACCATTCCAAATCTTGGTGCAGTCTCAGTGAATATTACGCTTCTATCCTTGTAAGTGAATATTAACAGAATTTCATATCTATGTTGGCAGATACCATATGGACTGGCATAAATTGCTTACAAACAATATTTGAATACTTCTTTCAGGGTATAATAAAGAAAGGCTCTTTAAATTGCTTAACTTGTTTTCTAGCCTGTACTGTCCCTCCTAAATTCCAGGTTTCCTTCAACACATATCAACACATTCAACACTTAGCTCTCATTGCTTAACTGGTTTTCAAGATTTAAAGAAGCAAATTTCACCTCATACAGATGCATATTTGTTTATATGCTGTTGACTTAGACTTTTAATTCTGGCTTTACTCAGTGGTTGGCTTGGGATCTATGGATTATATATCATGTAGCTTTTAGAGAACCGTGATGAGATTTTTTTTGTGTGTGAGAATAAATGGAAGTTGATAATAAACCACTGAGTTAGCCTTGTAAGTTTGGTGTCTACAGGGGAAATCAGGGTTTAGAAATCCCCACTCAAAATACCAGCTTATGCAATTAAAATCAAATATGTAATCAAGGTCAGAAATATCACTGAGTATTAGTTTGCAAATTTGAGTTTTTAAATACAATTAAAATTGTCTGACATTTTCTGTATTTTGGAGGGCAGATAACACATGTATACTCATGTTTTGAGATAGATTTTGGAAGAATTTTGATTTTCAGCCTTTAAAGGTAGTATTTAGAATATTCCTGGTTAACTTTCTAAAATTAAGTAATTTACTGCCTTAATCCTGGATAATTAAAAAATATTTAAGTCCCTGAAGTTACAGACATTCTTCTTTCATGCAACTTAAGAAAACACTATTGTTAGTTGCTTCTGGTTAAGGTGTTGGGAAGGTTGAAATTATATAGTAAATTTCAGGAACACTGTTCAATTAATTAAAGTGATCGCTATCCAATTGCTTACATCTGGTGATTTATAGAGGTTTGTTTTCACTTTGGGCCCAGGTCAGCCAAGTCACAGTGCAGCCTCTTTGTCTGCTTTCTTAGTTTGAATAAGAACTAAGTGACATTTGATACTGATGTGGTTTTTACAAAGATCAGAAACAGAAAGCAGTGAAAGAAAAAGCAGTTGATATTTGACAAATAAATACTAAATTTAAAAAATATTTTTATGCTAGCATTAATTCTCACTTTCTTTGTCTTTTACAATTGCTTAAAATATTGGCAACAACATGGAGTTCTGGTTTTGGTGCCTTACAGCATCTGTAGCTGTTCTTGTTGACCAAGAGGGCTCTTTTAAAATCCTGCTTTGCCCTGCTGTTTTTGCCCTGTGTTTTGGCAGATTCTGTCAGCACGTTTAAGAGAAACTTGAGATTCATGGCAGACTGGATGGCTGAGGGGTCCGTGATGCCATTTTGTAACCTGGGAGGGATGAGGAAGACGCTAAAGTCTAAATGGGGCACTTTGGCATGGCATAGGATTGACGTATAAGAACTTATAGGGAAATTAGAAAATTCTTTTGGATATAAAATAACTGTAATTGTACCCTTTAGAGCTATAACTTGTAAACAAAAAGCTAGAATGACATCTAAAAAATTAGAAACCTTCACAATTTGGACTCTTCTCTGTTTCTGTATTAGGCTTTGTGTTAGTATATGTGTTTTGCTTTAGTGAGTGTTTTTAGTGATGTGTCAAATCAACCTTACTGATCTCACTTTTTTTAACCCTAAACCTGCTACAATGCATCTCACCAATGATTACTTTGTTCTCATGTAACCATCTGCCCAATTAGTGCCTGCCCACATTACATAGACTCTGCGGAGGATAATGTATAAGATAGGCCCACACATGCAATACAGAGAATGAAAAATTGTTTACACACCTATGAAATATCTTGAAAACTCTTAGTTTTTCCTTCTACAGCTATTGCTTTGTTTTCTTCTAAAGGCTCCTTGAGAGCCTGCTATATGGAGTCAGTGTTTCTAAAGCACTAAAGTTTCTATGTTGTGTTATGTAGGGTGGAACATTTTTTTTTTTAATATAGAAGCACTTGAAGACAATCAGAGCTAAATACCAGTACTTAAATACATGCATTTCGGAAATTTCAAAAGAAAATCTGTTAAACCGTGTGACATGACTCAGATTAGAAACTACAACTAAAATCCATATTTTAATTTCTAGGGCTTTTGACCTCTATGTTATCAAGATTATGATTATTTTTATATTTTATGGAAGAAAACATTTTTCTGAGGTATATGTGTGTGTGTGTGTTAAATAATTTCAAAACTTGTGCTGAAGAAAAGGAAAATTTAATTGAAGCCTGGTATATGATTTGATATCTGGGCCCTTATACAGTTGCTACTCTTTGCTATGAAGACCTTTCCCAGATAGAGGGGCTGGATGTAGAAAAGACCATGCCAAGAAAACATTCTTCTTGTCAAATGGCAGGGCAGGGCATCCCCCCCACCTCCCTCTGTTCAGAGATGAATACAGTTAGGGCCTGGTTCGGATAAATTTGGGGAAGCTTGTGAAATGCCAGGGATCTGTAATGTTAGTTGGATACTCATCAGACACCCTCATTACCTTTAGAATATAAAAGATCTAATCAGAACTACTTTCCTTTAAATCCCAGTAGAACTGGCTAAAAAAATCGACTGGAATGCTATGGGAAAGGAATGGTTTGTTATATGTATGTCCTTTATGTTTTTCTCACAGTTTCATGGCTATGCCAGGATGGTCTTTTTTAAGGAAACGAAGTGGAATAATCTTTGAAATTAGCATATCCGTAGAAGTGCTGACCTAAGCTGGGCATGGTGGTACATGCCTGTAATCTAAGTACTCTGGGAGGCTAAGAGAATTGCTAAATTTGAGTCTAGCTTGGGCAACTGAGTGATTTCAGAGATCTCAAAATAAAAATTTAAAAAGGGCTGGGAACATAGCTTAGCGCCAAGGCTCTGGGTTCAGACCTTGATACTACTAAAAACAAAGTTGATATTTCCTGTGTGCCAGTTTTAGCTCTGGGTGATGTGGCATGACCCTGGTCAAATAATGGGTGTTTTTAAACCTGTGACCTGGGTTGGGGAAGTTTCAATTAAAATCTTACTGTTGGACAAAAGAGACCTTGTTGGTTATTATCAGAGCTAGTTGGGGCTTAGTCTTTCTTGATACTGATGGTTTATGTAGTTTTGCCCAGTTTACGCATATTTGTCTGGTGTCCTGAAGTTAGAAAGTGTTAAGTCAGAGGCTGTCAAATGCACATTGGAGTGCTTGTTAAAAATGTTGATTTTCTGGGTGTGGTGGCGCACATCTGTAATCCCAGCACTCAGGAGGCTGAGGCAGGAGGATTGCTGTGAGTTCGAGACCAGCCTAGGCTACACAGTAGTTCCAGGTCAGTCTCAACTACATAGTTGAGACCCTGTCTCAAAACAAATAAACAAACAAACAAAAATGTTGGTTTTTCTGACCTCATTTTTAGACATTCTAAGTCACTAGGTTTGATGAGGCCCAGGAATGTCCATTTTACTTATCTGGCCTGCTGGTTCTCATCAGCGATTGCATAAATATTTCTGAAGTTACTGATAGTGTCAGTGTCATAATCAAATAAACCTTTTTTCTTTATTTCTCACTTATCTTAAACATTGAGCATATCTGCAAATCCATCATTTTTCTTTATAGCCTGTCATTTTTCCAGAGATGACACTGCATGGTCCCAGAGAGGTTGTTATAAGTTACCTTCGCTGGTAGCACCCCAGAACATACACTCTACCTGTTGAGAGCTGCCAAAAAGATTTAAAATAGTGTGAGATGCCAGGAATTTAGCTAGCTCTGTGGTGGTGTGCCTGCCTGGCAAGTGCAAGGTCCTGAGTTCAATTCCCAGTTCTGAAAAAAATAAATAAAATAGTGTGAGATGATCAGATGTGGTATTTGAAAATGTCCCAGTGACTGTAGTGTGGGAAATCGTCTGGAGGTGACAGGAGGGTGGTTGGAGAGGGCAGGTAATTAGAGTCCCACAGCAATCCAGGAGTAGTGGCGGCCTGCTCTACAGTGGTTGTTAAAAGCAGAGTTCCACATCAAGGGAAGAAACTGAAGAAGACACTAGAAGATGGAAAAACCTCCCATGTTCATGGACTAGCACAATTAATACAGTATTGTTAAACTGGTCACACTACTAAAAACAAACTGAATTTAGTTCCTCATTAAAATACCAACTTTCTTCATAAAGCTGGAAAATACCACCTAAAATTCATGTAGAAGCACAACATCCTGAACCACCAAAGCAATCATGAGTAAAAAGAACAATACTGGAGGCCTCATGATACCTGACTTTACAATATACTATGGAGCCATAGTAATAGAGACCATTTAGATATGTGCACCAGTGGTACAGAATAGAAGATCTGGCTATAATTACCTGATTCTTGATAAAGATACCAAAAACATCTTGAGGAGAGCATAGTTTCTTTAACAGAGGTGCTAGGAAAACTGGATATCTACCCGGAGAAGACTGATGATTCCTACCTCTCAAAACTTTGTAAAAGTCAACTCCAGTGGATCAAAGACTTTAATGTAAAACATGACATTTTGAGACTACTAGAGGGAATGGCAGGGAAATATATAGCCATAGGCACCACTTCCTGAATTGGACTCCAATAGCTCAAGAGATAATAGCAAGAATTGATAACTAAGATTGCATCAAATGAAAGAGCTTCTGCATAGCAAAGAAAATAAAAAAGTGAAGGGACAGCCTCCAGAATGGGGAAGATCTTTGCTAGCTATTTTTCTGACAGAGGATTAATACCCAGATTATAAAAGGAACTCAAAATACTTAATGCCAAAAGAACAAACAAAGTAATCAAATGAACAGACCCTGCTCAAAAGAAGTACCCATGACCAATGATAATATGAAAAAGTGTTCACCATCATTAACCATTAGAGAAATGTGAATCAAAACTACACAGAAGACTGAAGGTGTAGTCAGCAGAGAGTATGTGCTTAGCACGCATAAGGCCTTGGGTTTCATCAACCTCTAGCAACAAAGACAAAAGCAAAAAGTA